AGACTTTATTAGCTTATTTGCAGTAAAATTTTGTCTTTGGCCCATTTTTCTTCTGCGTTGCCTCCTCCCTCCCCCATTTGCTCAAGAGGTAAATTAAGTTTAGCCAGGCAGGCATGGTTCAGTGGTTGAGCATGGACCTATGAACCAGGAGGTCACGGTTTGATTCCTGGTCAGGGCACATGCCTGTGTTGTAGGCTTGATTCCCAGTGTGGGGTATGCAGGAGGCAGCCGATTAATGATTCACTCATTGATGTTACTATCTCTCCTTCTCCCTTCCTCTCTGAAATAAAGGAAAAAAAAGAAATGTTAATTCTAATACTAGTTCACAGCCCCCCTTCCCCAATAAAAACCACAACTTGATTTCCTTAAGAACTTGAGAAGCATAATTTCATATATTTAGACATTTGCTGTTAGATGTCTTTCAAGCTGGACAAGAATAAAAGTCTGTATGCATGTAAATTAAATGATTCTTAAAGGCATTTTAAATCTGTCATATATTTAAAAAATATGATAGTGTTTTAAAACCTACTAGATTATAAGGAAAAATTCATTGTGTAATTCAAGTCAAATAAAAGTGATTCCTGATTATTATTCCTAGTACTTCTCTTTCTTAGTATGAAAAATACAAGAATTGAGTGTATCCTGAAATTTGGGAGAGTATCTGAATGTTAACCCATTTGCCACTTTAAGCCAAGAAGAAGCCTAGGATTTTCTCCAAACCAAATTAAAATCTACTTAAAATATCTGGATATTTCTGTGGCAAACAGAAACTCCAAGCCTCATAGAGCTCTGACCCAAGCAGCGAAGGGTAGCACAACTCCCTCACACCACAGGAAGTCAGCCCCCATCCATGTCCTTCTGAGGCAGGACTCCTTGTAGGTCTGTGCCTGCAGTTTCCAATAGGAAACAACTTAAAATCATAAAAATTGGGGGAAATAACCATTCTGAGGGTAGAAATCAGAGGGAACAGTGAGGAATGCATAATCAGTACCTTGTCAGAGTTTTCTCTAAGAGGAGGATAAGAAGGGACATGCCAGATATCCCAGGATTTTAGGAAGATATTGGGAAGAGGTAAAATATAAAAGTTGAGACTCATAGTTTAGTTGTTTGGGAAGTCTCTTCTGATGAATGCACGTGTCTGCCAGTCTCTGTGTGTTTCTGTGTCTGTCTTTTCCTAGAATCTAGGCAATTGGCTGGATTAGGGACTCTGAATCCCTGTGGGATACAGATACAGCCCCAGTAAACTCTTCACATCATTGTTGTATCCTTAAATCTTCCTGTACAAGAGAACCATGCTAGCAGATGCCTACAAACATCTGTGTCATTCCTTAAATTTATCTTTAATTTACGGTTCATAATCCTTGCCTTGATGCCTCCTGGATTCAAACTTTAGCTCCAAGGTTCTGGGTTATATTCTTCCCCAGGGGGGAGAATAAGACTGGATTTGGCATTGTGGCTGAGGATGAGTCATAACAACTCCTAACCTGTTTCTCCTCTCTAGTACAGGGATCATAATCTATGCTCATCTCCAGTGGACATTATGAAGAGAAACAGGTAGTGAAATAATGTGTTTGAAGACACTAGCAGTGGTTCCTGTTTGATAGGAGTCATATGCATGCCTTTCTACCTCCCTCTTTCCCCTTCTTCCTCCCAATACTTGATTGCCTGACAGTGACAAACACTAGCTAGGTATTAGGAAGCAGTCATGAGCAGGGCAGATAAAATCCTTGCTCTCTGGGGGCTTAAATTTCTACCTAGTACCTACTTGGAACAGCTTTCTCTGCCTTCCAAAAGAGCAATCTCTCCTGCTCTTCTTAATAGACCACACATTTCCATTGCCATCCTTGCTGATTCTCTTTCCCAGCCTTTAAATGTTGGGCTTTGTGTTAGATGCTCTTTTTATCCCATACTGCCTACAACAGGAAACCCTGTTGATATCCTGTCCTCTCTCTTGGCTATTTCAAAGGTACTTCAAATTCACCACATCTAAATGTGAACTCATGACCTAAACACTACCCCTCTTACCCCCAAACCTGATCCTGCTCCAATGGTCTGTGTGTCAGTGAGTTTACAATATCTTGTCCAGTTGTTTAATCTAAAAACCCATATGTCTCTCAACCCTTGATCTCCCATACCTCACATATCCACTTCTTCAAGTCCTATTGATTGTCCTATTTAGTTCTCCATTTCTGTTCTCACTGCTGTTTTTCAAGCGACCACTTCATCCTTTGTACAGACCATCAAAATGTCATCTTCACTGTTCTCATATATTTTTGTTTTCCAATCATTCACACTTTAGAGTGATACTTTTTAGATACATAAATATGTTCACATGGTTCCAGAATTTGAGAGTACTCAGTGAAGAGCCTCCTCTCCTCATGAAACTGTTACTCATCCTAAACATTCTTTCAAGATATTTTATGCATATGTAAGAAAATACTAACACACAAGCTGTTTTTAAAACTTTATTATTTATTAAAAAGATGGTGGGAATGGCCAGGGAGAGGTCAATGGGAGAAAAAGGAGTCATATGTAATACTTTAAACTATAAAGAATTTAAACCAAAAAAAAAAAGGTCCACTATTACACTATATATAGTTTTCTTCACCTTGTTATTTTTTCCCAATCAACAGTATATGCTGGATATCTTTCCACTGTAGTACATAGAGAATCTTCTCATTAATTTTTATGGCTGCTTAATATTTCATGGTACAAATATTGAAATTGATGTACATCAGGACAAAACATCATTTACTGTCTAGAGCAGTGGTTCTCAACCTTCCTAATGCCGCGACCCTTTAATACAGTTCCTCATGTTGTGGTGATTCCCAACCATAAAATTATTTTTGTTGCTACTTTATAACTATAATTTTGCTACTGTTATGAATCATAATGTAAATATCTGATATGCAGGATGTATTTTCATTGTTTGCGACCCACAGGTTGAGAACCGCTGGTCTGGCGTGTGCCATTCTTCCATTTTGGATAACCTTGTCATGAATTCCCATTCATTACTCTAAGGGGGGAAAACTGAGATCAGTTGCCAGGGTTCTCAGGGTCTGGCCCTTCTTCTCTTCTCCAGGGTTGTCTTGTATTGCTTTTTCCCTCGTCCTCTACTTTGTTGTTCCTTGGACATGAACTATCTTTTATTTACTCTGCATACCATATCCCTTCCCACCTGAGACCTCTGCAGGATCTCTTAGTCTCACATGCAGACCCAGACGTTCAATGCAGGAGCTGCCGAGCTGTGGTGACTTGGCAGTGGCAGTTCTTGGGTGACACACCCGGAACCAGAGAGGAGGGAGCCGGATTCCAGGGTGTGTCACCCGAGAACTGCCCTCTCACAATCTGGGACCCCTTGGGGGATGTCAGAGAGCCGGTTTTGGCCTGTTTCCCCACAGACCAGGCCGAGGGACCCCACACACCGCCCCAGGTGCTGCTCGCCAGGGAGGGACCACAGGAGGTTGGCTCCAGGAAGTGTCCACCTGTCTTGCCCAGTTCTGCCCTGCCAGCCACCCTCTAAGTAATTTCTTTTCAATGAGCACAAATCCATGCACTGGGGCACTAGTTATTATATATCTGTATGTGTGATTATTTGATTGATATTTACCTCATACACTAAAAAGTGTTTCTTATATAGTGAGTTGCAACCCCTAAGGGATTATGAAATCAGTTTTTAAAATTATGACAAGATCTTTAAAAAAAGGAACTGGAATAGGAAATACCAGACCTCTTTACTTATAGTAAGGGTATTTTTTCATCATACTGTACTTCAGATTAATAGATAGATGTGATCACATAAGCACCCAGATATATAGGTGTATTGGTATGATGTAAATTGTATTTCTTATTATGGATCTTAGTTAAAAAGAGTTTGAAAGCCATTGAACTAGATGATAAATCCTGTGAGGATAGGAATTCTGTATATTTTGTAAACCATTCCATTCCCAAATCTAGCAGAGGCCACTCAGTATATATGCTGGCTGAACAAATGAATGAAAGCATACCTTCTCAGAGTGGTTTATAGACCTTCTGTCTTATTCCTCAGGACTAATGGATCCTGGTTCTAGGCAGATGTTAGTGATTATTTCCTTGGCCAATTGAATCTGCATTAGATCATTATAGGAAAATAAAAGTAATAGGAAACAGTACCTACCAATATATCTTTTTAAGGAATGAATCTTAAACTATTTAATGAAAGGGTTTTACATTTAAATTATTTTGTATTACTTATGAATCTTAGGCCTTGAATACCATTTTATTTTATTTTATTAATAAATAATGAAACATGATTTTTACCTGCCTAAATATGTGGGTGATTTTTCATTTCTAAGGTAGTCTGCATACAGGGCTTATTACATAGCTATTATCTTTTGTGTGTGCTTCAGCAATAAAATATTTACGCAGTTTGGGAAGGTGATACTACAACCTGGTTTAGTACAACAGCTGCACTGCCTGTTCCCATGTGGCTTGATTTCCCTTTTTAATTTTCAGTTTTGTCAGCGTGTAGTTTATACAGCAGCAGATAATGGTGAAGGCTTCTTGAATTAATATAGTAAAGAGAGAAATACTCTGCTGAATTTAGTTGGTTTCATGTTTTCCTAAGTCTTTGAAAAACATTTTCTTAACATGTCCTACACAGTAGAGGTTTATAAACATCACGTATTTACAATGAGACACTTTTGTGACTTTTTTATTCTTTAAAGAACTTGTAAATTCATATCCAAAGGTAGAATCTCTGATCTTAAAAAATGGGAATATTTCAGTTCTAAAGTAATCTGCATTTTGGCTTAGCATAAATTAGGAAAATCCAGGAAATACAAGAATGCCTCTTGTATTTATTTTAAGTCATAAATTTGTATGTGTAATTGACTTGAGATTGGATTAAAAAGTGTTTAGGCAAAGAGTACATAATCTTAATTCTTTTCAAGTTTATTATCAGAGCCCTTTTAGCACAGCCTTTATCTAGCATATGTGTTATTTTTTCTTTTTATTTCTAGGTGCTCCTGATCCAACAGCAGGTGCTAGTATAGATGATGAAAACTGCTGGCACTTAGATGAAGAGCAGGTTCAAGAACAGGTTAAACTGTTCCTTTCCCAGGGCGGGTACCACGGATCAGGGAAGCAGCTTAATTTGCTCTTTGCAAAGGTATGATTGTTTATTTTTAAAGAAATATTCTAAATATATACAAATACAGCAGGTATCTTTATATGATCACGTTTACAATAGTGTAAAGACTTGTCTTTTGAATATTTTTTTTTAAGAATACATTCTAAGTTAATCAATTAGAAAGTTCTGTGTTTTAACACAAGTATTAATTTGCTTAGATGTCCTTAGACAAGATGCGGAACGCTTTTTTCTCTCTCAGTTCCTATTAATAAAATTGTGGTAATTTATACAATTTTGAAAAAACATTCCCATACTAAAGCCAAAATAAATACCTTAATGGTATTTAAAATGCCGTTTTGTCTTTTTCTAATTAATTTCCTCAGTATCTTGAATATAGCCTTTAAAAGGTGCTTTCTATTTTTAGTTTAATAATGTCAGTATCTTTAGATTTGTTTTAAGAGCATAGACTTTGAAGTCATAATAGACCAGGGTTTAGATCTAAGTTCAAAATCTTACTAAGTGGATGAAACTTGGAAAGTTTTTAAAGTCAGTTTCCTCATCTGTAAAATTAGCTAATAGCAGCATATCTCCTCAAGTTGTGATCATGATGTTAAATGATAATGGTGTCTAACATGTATTTGGGCCTTGGTAAATATTAATTTTCGTCACCAAAATTTGATAACCTAAGAAACAAAGTTAGCTTTGTTATAAGTTCTATGTGAGCAAAAGCTGTATCTGTTGTTTTATAAGAACTTTTAGTACCATAAACACAAATCTAAACATTGGATAAAATGCTTTTTTAATCATATTAAATCATTGTTTTTTCATTGGAGTTACAGCCATCATTACTGGTATTATATTCAGATTGGCTTTAAGGGAACAGATAATTGTACATTGGTACTTTTGTTAAATAATCTTTCTAATACTCATAATAATTAAAAGATGTCTTTAAGTTCAGAAGAATTAGAGTAAACTCTGTTATTAGTTATAACCAAAAAATAGTATATTTTTTATATTCTCTTAATAAAGACTTATTCCATATACCAGGGGTGGGGAACTTCCAGCCTATGGGCTGTATAAGGCCCACAAAATCATTTGGTCTGGCCCTGCCAAGGCATGAGGGGTAAGTTAATTAAATGTTTGACAAAATATAACAGGCTATTTTTAAGCTGATAATTTTGTATGTCCTGAGAATGATGTTATAAATATCCAAATGGCCGTTGGCAGAATAATGGTTCTCCACCCTTGCGGCATATACCATACAGAGATTGCCAATTTTCTGATGATTAGATTAAAAAAATATACTTAACTCTAAAACTATTCCACACGTGATTTACTCATCTTTAGTAATTCATAGGCACTTCAAACTCCTTTAATGCCTCAGAGTCAACAGTCTGAAAATTAATTACCATTACGCTATAGATGTAGTACTGGCATGTTGGTTAATAGTACTGCTTTATATGCTTACTAGTGTTTATTTTCATTGCTATTTCTAGCCAAGTAATAGGTTAGAAATTTATCAGGAAAGAAAACATTAAATCAAACTTGATATAGTGGTAACTATTAAAGTTTTAGTATAGTTAGACACACTGGAAGTATTTCATAGTCTCATGCCAGCAGAGTACACTGTGGCCTAGTAGAAGCAATGTGAAAGAAGTGTTAGACTGGCCTTCATTAGTAGTTTTTATCTGTATATGATGTATATATTACATATGACATATGAAGTAACATCAACTTCTAATTTTGGGAATGGCATAACTTTAGTATTCAGTAGAGTTAAGACAGATCTGGGTTCTGATTTTGTCACCATATATTTGACCCCTTTAACCTTTTGTACTTTAACTTGGTTTTATAATTCATAAAATGGGGGTTATAATCTGGCCTACTTTATATGGTTGTTATAAAGATTAAATGGTAAGTATAAATGTAAAAAACTTTTAAGTATGATGCACAATAAATGGCAAGTCCTTCTCTTTCTTCCAATATTCATCTTTTCATGAATTTTTAGTGCTTCCATATTAGTAATAAACTCATTTTTAAGATTACTGAAATAACCTTCCTGGAAGCACAACCCTTGTGGTTTACTGTAGAAGTGCTCAAATTCTAGAACGTATGAGGGGATTCCATTACTTGTCAGGGTACCAGCCTGAGGCAGGATGTATTAATCCAGAGGTTTGAGATGCTTTATTGAAGATCTGCTATTTCCTCCTCATTTGCTGTTCACAAAGAGAATCTTGAATCAAAGGACCCATTTCTCCTTTTTCACTGTTCATGAGCTTGCTCTAGGAATTTCCTATAGAGAGAACTGCTGGTATTCAGCTGGGATTCTTGTTGAATGCATAGCTGTGCACTTTTGGAAAGGATGGATTCATTTAGGGTTTCCTGTTAGCCTTGTGTTTCTTTTCTTCCTTTTATTTTGGAAATGTAGCACAAGAGTAATGGACAGAGAAGAGAGCTCGAGGTTCCAGCGTGAGAGACTGAGAACTTCCTAGGGCCCTGGTCATGATTCTGCTTCGTGGATTGTTCGTTTAGAGCCAAAAGAGTTCTTGAACCTATAGCCCTGTTCAGTTTCCTTTTACCATTGCAAAAACAATCCATCGAAGTGAATATGATACTGTTCTTTATGCCACAGAACTTGGGGTGAGAGAGAACTTACTGAAATTACTAATTTACCTCAAAAATTGAAGAGTTGCACAACTTTCTGAATATACTAAAAACCACTGAATTGCACAATTTAAATTGGTGAATTGTATGTATGTGAATGTTGTCTCAATAAAACTGTTTCTAAAAAACTGCAGGACAGATGCTATTATAAACATCATTAGGTCAATTCAGAAGATCCCTAAAGAGTTCTTAGTAGCTTGCTTTTTAGGCTCACCTCTTCTGGTGGGAAGTGCAATCAACTGGAGAGTCAGGAAGATGCCAAATGATTTGTCTTCTTGGTTTTGATACTGTTTTTCTGGAAGTTAGCAATTTTTCTTTTTGAATTGGAAGTTAGTCAGATTTCTTTCCTTGTGTGGATTTTAAAACAATATAGAAAAACTAAGAGTCAGTTCTTTGATTCAATTACCATTTAGGGTAGAAACCAGTTTTAACAACTTTTGTCCCCCCCCCCCCCCCCCGCCCAAGAAAAGTGATCTGTCTCTGTATTGCTGTTTGTTTTTGAACTTTTTTTTTAAAAGTCTGTTTTGTTTTTTCCCCCCACTAGGTTCGGGAGATGCTGAAGATGAGGGACTCTAATGGGGCCCGCATGTTGACCTTGATAACAGAGCAATTCATGGCTGATCCTCGTCTGTCACTTTGGAGGCAACAAGGCACTGCGATGACTGACAAATACAGGCAGCTCTGGGATGAACTGGGTAAATATAAGTTTCCTGACAGATTGCCATTGGGTTATATGGATGAAGACTATGTTGAATGGTTAAAGATCATGATCAGTGTATTGCTGAAGAGAGAGCGCTACTCCTATATGAACTTGTTGCCATTATATACTGGATACAAGATAGGGAGAATAAGAACTTTGTAGGAAGCAATCTTGGCAGGGTTTGGAGGGAACTGTCTGATCTTAAGGAAAGTGAGCACAGGAATCAGCCTTTAAATATTTGAAAAACTGTATTATTTTGAAATAAGTATTTTGTATAAAAGTTTCTTGTTTCTAGAGTAATATTGTGATCAATTCAGCTAAAATTTGTCTATTTTTCCCTTTTGCCTACATTAAAAATATCAAAAGTAGTTTGAACATTCATTTTATATTTTGACTGTTATAGATTAAAATGAACTAATGATCATAAGAATGAAAAATATAGAGCAGACGCTAATTTTTATTGCTTTCCAAATCCTTGGTAGTAAAGATACTAATACAGTAGGTGGTTGAAAAAAATGAGAAACAGCTGTCGTATTTACTGGGAAATGTTGGGGGATGACTTGTTACCTAATGCTCATTGCTAAAGAATTAATAATTATTATTTTGTCTTTCTATTAAGAAATCTATGTGGCAAGTGGAGTTTTTAACCAGTACTTTATTGTGTTTGTATTAATTTTAAGTTCTAAGTATATTTACTAAAACATCCTACTCTAAGTGCAGTTGAGTAGTAGAAGTCTTCACATCTTCATACCTGTCTCCATCTTGCCTAATGATGGGGAACACATCCTGCTGATTGATTCCACATCTATTCTAGACCAAGTGAAACTTGCTGATGAAGATGCCACATGGTCATAGTAGTTGGAATGGACTTTTGAGATAAACTCTTTTACAGATAAGGAAACTAAATTCTGAGGAGGTTAGGAGACTTCCATAAGATGACATTGTATGACGTAGGGTTATACAAGTTGGTAAAGAATTTGACATGCAAGTTTTCTTCCCATTAATAGGATGTGTGTTCAGGAACTTGACTGTGGATGGCAACTCTTGGTAAATGTCAATTTAATCTTGGTATTTTCCTTGGGGACATGAAAGAATAAAGGCGATGGCCTTTCCTCCCAATTAATCTGTAATGTCAGTAGATAGTTTCAGTGTATTGGAGGAATGTTTGGGAGTATGCTGTAGTGGTTAGAAAACATAGGTATAATGCATGGTTTAAACAACTATTTTTATAGAATACTGGAGTGTTTGACTTTCCTAAGTAAACCATCCTCAATTTTGTTACAGTAAATGTTGAATTCAGTAGTTGGTTTATGATGGTAAAAAGGACTAGCATTAAAAAAACTATAATGAAGGGAATCATTTAAGAAAACATTATTGGATTAATATTAAATGAATAAAATTTAAAGAACTTCAGTACTTAGAGAAGCTTAGGATTACAGATAACTAGTAAGAAGAAAGTACCAACTAAATTTTTTGGTTATCAAATAAATACAAGTGATATAGCCAAAACTTGTATAGTTCACATTTAATCCATTAATCACATCTTACTTTTCCAAGTTGGTTTTGAAAATTATGTACCTCAACCCTTAATCAAAAGTATAAATTCTCATTGAGTGCAAGTTTCCATGAGCTGATTCTAGTTATACCCTCTGATGACCTTCTAATTATGGACCAGCCTCTATTCAAGTTTGGTTTCAGTCCAGGATGAAGAGTACATCTTCTTGCCCTATGTTTTCTTTTATCACACCCCATCCCCAAATAATTACTAGACTGCTATAAATTCTCCTATGTGTTCTGGTGGTGAGCAGAGGTCACCTGCTGTTTTAATGGGGTCTGAGCTCTGTGAAGAATCCTACTTAGAACAATAGCTATCACATCTTAATATTCATTCACAAAAAATTAACTAAAAGTTGCGTCTGGACTACAAAGGGAAAGGGTTTTGGTTCTTAATAAAATGGGGGAATTTGACTTTGTGCCCCTGCACTGGGCTCACATTGCTTCAAGGCTCTGCTCTGGAATTAAATGCTGAGCACTGCCAGATGCCAGACATTGAGAAGAGGCTGAGTTTTGTCGGCAAATGGGATCTGCAAGTTAATTGGTGTTTTCTGCAGGCTTCTGGCTGTGAAATGAAATTGGAAGCCCTTTAGCCACATGGATAATACAGGACTTGAATACAAATGTCACATGTCACCATCAGGACCCACTGTGAGACAATAGTGTTCCCACTCCAACACTGCGCCATTACAGATCATTTAAATATGGGGATTACATTTAAACTAAAAGCCCCATTTGCCTTTTACTGCAATTTAAATGTCCTCTTAGCAAAAGCTAAGTGACAAATTAAATGAAAAAAGTGCCCACATTTTTAAAGCTGTAATGCAAAACAACCTTTTATTGCTTCTCATGTGCCACGAATGAATCATTACACTTGTCAACCCTAAACCAAGCCATAATTGGAGCAGCTACTGTTATCAAAGTGGGGCTGCTCTGTGACAGCTTAATAAAGCTGAAACTGTTAAATTAAATCTCAGATGCTTAACTCCTTAGCACCGGTGGGTTCGATGGGTCCATTTCTGGCAATGACCAATACATCAGAAAAAAAATATTTCCTGGCATGAAAGCTTTACTCTGATGAAAGGTTATAAGTAAGACTAACTTGGCTAAGTAACTGCTGCTTGGCAGAGGGGTTTGGAGGCATCTTGGCCAGATTACAAATTTTTTTTTATAGGATAGATATTCCCCCTCCCCCAAATTTACAATATTCTGAGTATATGTAATTTATTAAAATTTAAGTGTTGTTGATTTAAAATTCGTTTAAAGAAACAGCAGTCATTTAACTTTTTCTCTCTTTCAGATAAATGTATGTAAACTTTTTTTGAGGTAGCAACAGGCCCAATTTCTTCCCCCATTCTCTGGCTAACAAAGAAACTAATTATGCTCAGTTCTTCTTTTCTAAAATTAGTGCCTATGATATTCATTTGGTCTGAGTTAATTTTGTGATTTACTCCCTGATTTTCATAATGTCGTATGAAATAAATACAAATGAATATTAAGCTTTTGTTTAGTGCATCTCATTTGCAGATACTTTGTCTTATATGTGAATCAATTTTTCATATATTTTACTTTCTCTACATGAATGTTCATTTTCTTAAGCATAAGGCAGTCTTCTCAAGAGGAGTGTTGTGTCATGATCAGCTATAAAAAATGTGTGTATTAAAATCTTAAAACAGAAAGCCCCTTTCAGTGGTAGAAGCTAAGTTGCACATATGATAGAGGCTACACAGCTAGTAGAGCTATAGAACACATACCTCTTGAATTGCTTTTGTTATTCTGAGACTTGCAAATTTTCTGGAAAACAGATCACAGATACTACTTGGGATTTCAAAGAACAGCCCAGTGCCATTGGTGGCGAGCACACCTACTGGTTAGCCCTAATGGCTGTCTATTCAGCACACTTAATTACCGTGGGGGTCTTTTGGTATGAGGGGATATATTGTAACCTCTCATCTGTGTTGATGGGTCTCTTCGCCTTAAATGTTTCCTAGACTGTAATTTTACTTTGCTTTTTAAAACTATAGGTTGTGGCTGCCAGTTTATTAAAACCTAATTAAAATGGATGTCATTAGAGGAAACAGTTAAATAAGATTTAATTACAGTTTTATCATGGGGGGAAAGCCTTAAATTTTCACTTTCAAGTATTACATAATATCCCCTTCCCCCCCATATTTTAAACACTTAACTTTCTCTCTAAGCTGAGTCATGTGTTTTGCTATTTAGCATATAAACACTGTTTCTTAGGGAGATGTTATTGCACGAGCCTTGCATCTCTGAGCTGTGTTCACTCAGGTCACATGAAAAGATGGTACCTCTGAGTTCTGTCCAAAGCTCTTTATCTGGATGCCTAATTCTGTGTTAGCAGAAATAGCCATAGTTAGGTGTTTCTTTCTAGTTCAAATTTCATTGTAAGGTTAGTTTGACCACTATTATTAAGCAGCAGCTATAACATTGCTGGACAGATTGAGTAGGTTACAGACTCAGAGCACTTGAAATCAGTATAAATCTATTTAGCAGTAGAGGACTTAGTTTATCCATTGGGATCACATTTATTTAAAATACTAAAAATTACCTATACCGTGTACCTAGAAAATGCTGTTCCTTCTACATTTCCAGATATAAGTAGTCTTCTCTCATCTCTGAGTCTATTCTACACCCACCCACATTTTTTTAAATCCTCATTTGAGGATATGCTTATTGATTTTAGAGAAAGAGGAAGGGGCGGGGAGGAGAAGCATCAATGTGAGAGAGAAACATTGATCAGTTGCCTCCTGTATGTGCCCTGACCTGGGGTCAAACCTGAAACCTAGTTATATGCCCTGACTGGGAATCAAACCACAGTCTTTTATTGTGTGAGATGATGCTCCAACCAACTTAGCCACCCAGCCAGGGCTACCTATAACATTATTCTTGAATAAGGAAGAAAACATATACTTAAGTTACACATTCTAGAGGATATAGTAAGACCCTCTGTGCACAGCCAGAAATAATACTCTAAAGGCTCTGGTTTGGGGGGTAATTGTGGAAAAGTTTCTGGGAAATGCCATCTTACATTGCTGAAAGCAGTAGGCTAGGAACCCCCTCTGCTCCCTCCTCCCTCCACCCACACACACTGTTTTAAGCCCCTTAGTTTCTGTGGTAAATTCAAACTCAAACTTTCTACATTTTGAAGTTGATGGCGGTTAGTGAATGGCTAAGGAGTAACTGCTTCTCATTGAGAACTAGAGCATTCCAATGTGGCTTACCTCCTTACTAGTGCCATGGAGAAAACAGCAATTCCCAGAGCCCCATCTTGCAGTAAGAAGATGACACTACAGCAGCTGTGGGCAAACTACGGCCCGTTTGAAATGAATAAAACTATTGAAAAAAAAGACCGTATCCTTTTATGTAATGATGTTTACTTTGAATTTATATTAGTTCACACAAACACTCCATCCATGC